AACATAAGATCATTGGCCTTACTCTGTACATTTAAATATTTAATGTTAGATTAATAAAACCCATTGCAATTTTAAAGTAAACACAGCTTCAAAGCAAAGGTACTTTACAGTCAATAATATATTCCTTTCTACTTGGTAATGGGGCTGTCAATAGAATACCAATTTCTGTATAGCAGGTTGTCAAGAGGATAATACAATCTCTTTGTTATATGACACTCAGAAAGAGAATGCATTTCTTCCCTGGGCTTGCTTGCAGCATATAGCTGTTTCCTAGCCACAGGACTGAAGATTTAATGCTCTGTTTGCAATCAGTATATCTGAAAGCCTATCATCCCTGAAGGACAGGAGGACTGGCTTTGTCTGTCTTTCAGGGGTAGAATTCAAAATTAACTTGATGATCTCTAAGATTATATGAGCATGCATATATTGTGCTTTGTTCTTAAAATCATTACATGGTTTAAAAGGGCCTTAAAATTGGAATGACTTCTGCTTCTAGATATAGAATTATACCTTTTTTTCATGCAAAAGGGGGAATGCATTCTCATATTCTGAATTCTGTAGGTAGGAAGGGTTTGCTTCAGTGCCCAGTTTTTGAACAGTGTTTCATTTGTCCTTGTCTGTTGATAAAAATTAAATATACAGCATTGTTTGAAAATACTGGAAAACTTCAGCATGCATAATATATTTAGTCCTTAATTTAACAGAAAGCTCACTCCTTTTTAACAGGATCAAACTATTTATAATAGCATTACACGCACCCACCAATCTCCAAGAAAGTGCACATTATGGTTTTGTTCTGCCTTGTCGTCTTGACCTATTTTTGCAGGAGGTGTTAAATTATAAAAACTGATGTCATCCAGGCGCACGGTTCTCAAACTGAGTCAGAAATAACTAGGCTTTAGAGATGTTGGCTATAATTAAAATGTTTCCTTCATTGGTAAATGAAACATTTGTGTAGCAAATTATCTCCCTTTTCTGACTTGCTGTCAGGGTGTCAAAGTGTGTTTTTAATCTTTTCAATAAAGACATGGGTTGATTTTTCTAGAGTGGAATTAGCTAGACCACAGCTTTGGCCAACATGATTGCTAATTAATGGACAATGAGAAGGAATGGAAGAGAGGGGGGTGTGTATGTGTTTCCCCCATGAACTGATGAGAACTTCATTCCTTGGAATTGAGGCATCTGACAAGATGTTACCAATACAATCCCACCCACCCCCAATCCCAGCCTCCCATCTGCACTGCATATGCCCATATTCCCCACCTCTAATGGAATGGGCTATAGTTCCCCAAAGCTTATGCCAGAATATATTTGTTACTCTTTAAGGTATCCCAGTACTCTTTGGGATGTGTGTATATGTATTTACATACAAAGTGTGTCCTCTAGAAACAGAAGCCCTATGTTTTGGCTTTGCTGCTTTGGTATAATTAGAACTGTAGCCCAACATATTTGAAAGGCACCAGGTATGGGGATTGCGGGATATCCTACATTGTGCTACATCATAGCTCAGGGGAGCACCCACTGCGCCCTGATTTACAAGTTACAGCCCCCATGGTTTCTTTAAACCATGGATTAGACATGCCTGTGTGGAAGTGAAGGGACCAACTTGTGAAGGGACCCAACAACAATCCATGAACTAAAAGTCAGGGTGGTTTCTACCTCAAAAATGCAGAGTTGCAGGTTTGGATGTCCTGGATACATTCCTGGGTTATTCTGCAAAGTGGAAACCGGCACGTGGTTGGGAGCCAGCATACTTGCTCACTTCTGTGTGATCCCAAAGATCGTATGGTTTAAGCAACTCATGGGTAGTTGTTACATCCAGTATGGACCAGTATGTCTGTATGGTTCACTGTGAAGGCAGGTAACTCAATTGTTTTTGTTCAGTAGGCAGGATTGGGGAATCTTTGTGTAAGCTGAATGACCCAAGAGAGAAATCATTTGGGAACCTCAGGTGAAAGCGGACAGAGCTGGATATGATGGTGGGTGGATCAAGAGGCAACAGTGGGCAGAGTTTGCATCACTGTAGGATTGCATAGCTCTTTTTCTTTATGTGCCTTTCCATCCATTCTCTGTCTCTGCCTCTCTCATGCATGCATCAGCAAAAGCAAAGTGGAAATGATTTTCCGAGAGGATGGTTCCTAGAGCAAGAGTGGTCCTGAAACATCCACAGAATGAAAGATGCAGAGGACTGTATGAAATTAGGCTTAGGGCTGTGTGGCTGCAGGTTAGATTTAGGTTAGATCCCAGGCCTTAAGACACATGGCGGCCTCCCATCCTTCAGGGGTCAACACTTCAATAGACTCAGAGGGTGGTGACTAAGAGGTGGGCCTTTTCAGTGGTGACCCCCTTCTCTGGAACAACTGCCATGCTGCGGCCTACCTGGTGCCAGATTTGCCATCTTTTCAAAGCCAGGTTAAGACAGCCCGCTTTGCAGAGGGCTTTAAAGACTTTCCTGATCATTCAGAGACCTGATATGATTAGCCAGGTACCTTCTACTCTTGGCTGGGTCTTTTTCACTTGTCTTTTAATGTTCTTGTATATTCTTTTACATGTCTAATTCTTACTGTTTACTTCTATTGTTTTATATTTTGTTGTACACTGCCCAGACTATAGGTGGCATAGAAATGAAATAAACAAATAAAAATGATGGAACAACCTTGTTGAAGCTAAATGGGTTTGGATCTGCTCTGTGGGTGAATAGGAACCCTGTGTGTGGTGCCTTGAGGGGTGATTTAAATGCAGTTAATAAAATTTAGTCAGTTTCAGTGCTGAGGCACAGCAGCATTTTCTGTCCTCTAAGGTGCAGTTGAGCACAGACTTGTGCAGATAAAAGATGTGCAGCCCTGGTCCTAGGGTAGCAAATTGCTGCCTTTTATTATTGTTGTGTCTTTGTTCTTAGGAAGGGGTTTTTGTGGGATTTTCTACTTCAGGTTCCAAAAGAACTTGACCAGCCTTGAGTACTATGCATCTTGACTTGTTTCTGCATGTGTATGTTTGTGAACCATTTGCTTTTCCACCTCAAACAGTAAAATGTCTTGAGATGCTTTTATATATGCACATAAATAATAAGAAAAATAATACACAAAGATGAGTGAGAGGAGTTTGAAGAAAAGATTGAAAATGCTTAGGTTCTATTGGGTGAAAACCACCAGTCAGAAGTAACCATAATGGTTATTGGCTGAAAGGAGTTTCTCAGTCTGCACTGGTCTGACGCCAAGCAAATGTCCTTATGTGGTGAACCATCTCTATACTGAATGTTCAAAACATGCTTTGCAGTGCTGCACGCTTTCCAGTAACGTAGCCAAGAGATTACCTCTCTGTTTGGTGAACTATCCTATTCATTGTCCACCATGGATAGGAGTGGTAGGAGGAGATCAAAGAGAATAATACATGCAGCCATATACAGTATAATTAAAAAAAAAAAAAAAAAAAAAAACGGCAGCCCAGAAGGGTTGAACTTGGGAGCAGCTCCACCACATACGCAGTAATGTCCCTATATCTCCAGTCTCTCCAGCACTGCAAGGATAAGGGGGTGCAGCTTGACCAGAGAATAATGCCATCCATATAGCGTTTTGATTGTGGTTTATTTTGGTTTGACCAAGATAGTCTGGAAGGGTTCTATGGACCACATTCTAACCCAGCTGGTTAATTAATTTTGCAGTTCAGGTCAGCTTCCCTGCCCACTCTGAATCCTTAAGTGGTCCCAGCAGTTTTATCTAAAAGTAAGTTACACATGCTGAACAAAGTCCCTTTTAGATCCTTTGGTGACTGCAACCTTAAGGATTCAAATTTTGTTATAGGCCAAAGTAAAATTTTGGTTTTCTTTGTATAGCACCTGGTAAAGAAGATTTTTGGGTGATTTGTTATTAACAAATTAAAAGAACAATCAAGAATATGAAGTAGAACATAAAACTATACCAAAAACAGCAACATAAAATATGACAAGAAAACTCGCTGCCTCCCAAATTATGTGATTCCCAGCCTACATGAGTTATTTAAAAGGCCTGGGTGAAAAGAATGATGCCCTTCATATGTTCTTGGCTACAACTTCCTTCAGGCCCAGCCAGTAGTCATAGTTAAGGGATTTGTAGTTGAAAACATCTGGAAGCTATCTATGGAGATATCCACCTATCACCTATGGAGAAACAAAGCTACAAGCCATTTGGTTTCAGACAGTGGTGGCAGCAAATGAAGTTTCAGGCAAGGGATAGTATTTAGCGTTGTCCTGGTGGTAGCTCAAATAACAGTGTGTTAGTGTAAACCCATGCTTATTTATTTATTGCACATATGCTTATGCAATGTTACTAGCAACATATAATAACACAGCAATTTGCTAACTAAATTTGGTAGCAAAAGGGGGAGTTTTTCAGTTTAAAAAAGATGTATAAGAAGCATTACCAAGTTTGGGCAAATCCCTCTTTTTCCCCTTGTTGTACTAGTTATGTTTTGGAAGCTTTGATTTATACTAGTGCAATGCCATTAGCACTGGACAAGATAATGTTCTACATTACCCATAGTCAGTAGTCTTGTTAACTCTGAAAAAGGTCACTAAGTGTGTAGGTATACCTGGTCATTACAGCCTTACCTGTCATACGTTTTCTATGGAAACATCATAAGAATGCAGTAAACTTTAACCCAGAATGCAGTTCAGTGAAGGCAAGTTAAGTGTCCATTGAATATTTTTTCTTCACAATCACATTTTTATATAATTTAATGGATTTGGCCTTAGTTCAAACCTGGTTGGTAAAGCCAAGAAGCTATTAGAAGCCTACTGGTGTTAGTAGCTCTTTTATCATCTTTGGGTACTGCACTTGGACATTTATTATCATGATGATCTGTATTAACTCTAAAAGGTTGGGCCAAATGTGTTCTGATATATAGCCCAGAACAATTATTCCACAAATTTCCAATATGATATTACACCTGGGAACTGTCTGTTAATTATTACTGATCTATGCAAACTGCTTTACTAATGCCTTTTGCTGCCTTTTCCTCTGTAGGATGCCCGTCAGAAATTCCGTTCTGTTCTTGTTGAAGCTACGCTAAAACTAGATGAACTAGTGAAGAAGATTGGAAAAGCAGTAGAAGACTCAAAACCTTATTGGGAAGCACGGAGAGTTGCCAGGCAGGTAAGAACATAGCTGAAAACTCTATGCTATTAATTGGGTTGGATGCAACTCCAGCTACATAGTTGAAAGCATAAAAATGCTGTTTATAATGTCTGATGTGTAGGCATTTGACTGACACCATGGTGGGATATTTCAACTGTGTGTTTGTCACCTCTCTCCCTGCTACTACTTGCAAGTACCACTCATGAGGATGTAAGCTATCAAAGGGTATGCTTTTTCTCATTCCTACTATCTACTAATAATCTTTTGGAAACTTCCAACAACCTACTGTTTTTCTCTTTTCCAAAAGCTGCAACTGTGTCAAAACAGAATCAATTCTTGTTATTCATATTTGTCTTTTTATTTTCATTTTTGTCATTTAAAATTTAGGAAGCAGAGCATTTAAATAGATAAAAGAACGAAGCTTCATAGTTATTTGTAGATGTTTGTACTTGGCTTATTCTTCAGGGGTCAGTTTGGATACTTCTGCAACTGATGGAAAACTGAAATATAGAACCTCTTTCTCTCTCTCTTTTAAAAAACTAGTCAACATTGAAAACAATTGCAGAACAACTTAAATGACTTTTGGTAGGTTGGAATGGGACCCAACTGTGTATATACTTAGCCACTTGGACACTTGCTGAGTTCACCATCAAAACAGTGGTCAAAATGGCTTCCTTTTCCTACCATCTCCCACTTTTTACAACAACAGCTCTGTGAAGTAGGTTAGGCTGAGAATGAGTGACTGGTCCAAAGTCACCCAGTGAGCATCACGGCTGTCCAAAACTCTAACTGCTGCACTGTGCAGGTGTCCCAGGTTGAAAGCAAAAGTATAGAGCCTAAAATAAAAGCTGCAGTGAATAAGGAGCCTCACTGACATGGGAGTCACCAGCTTCCCCTGGATGCATGTGTCCCCTTCTGGAGGCTCAGGGAAGTATGGAAAGACAGAGGAAACTGAAAACAGTCAGGATAACACTAAAAAATTAGAGTATCAAAAGGGGGAGATAAACTTGCTGCGTTTGGGGGCAAAAGGCCCCTATTTACAGCATCACCATCATCATCATCATCATCTAGATTGGTTTTTTAGTTTACCTTTTCTCATCTTGCAAGGAACTCAGAGCAGCTTACATAGTTCTCCTCCTCTCCTTTTTATCCTTGCAACCACTTTGAGAGTTAGGTTAGGGTAAGAGCAGTGGCAGTCCCAAAGTCACCCAGTGAGCATCATGGCCAAATGAGGACTAGAGTACAGCTTTTCCACATCTCAGTCCAACACTGTAACCACTACATCTGCCAAATTCGCAGATTATCCTTTGTCTGTTTCAGAGGTAGACTACCACCATGTTCATGATTAATACTCATTCTTAGTTTGTACATGTAAGAATCCGAGGATTCTTGTAAGGATTGTGTTTATGGAGAAAGATAGGCTCCTTTTTTTCAAAGTTCAAAAGTGGTAGAAAGTCCAGCTTCAGGCTAAGCAAAAGAACTACATCAACCCTTGACTATGTTCAAGAACCATGTAGAGAGAAGATTAGAAATAGTTGGTTGCTTTTAAAATGAAATGAAGCATAAAAGTAGTTACCTAAGACTTTACTCTCAGTAACCTAAAAATTCTAAGAATAACTCCCCAAAGCAACTTGCAGATGGTTTGGGGGTGGGGAGGGCACCTGTGAATTCACAACTTGGTTTAGTCTTGACTCTGTGCCAGCTGCTCCAAGACAAAGAAAGATTTCACAAACAAAAGTACAACAACAACAGTCAGAGACAGTTTGGACATTCAAACTGAACAAATGAGCAGGTGCCTTCCAGGTGATTCCTGCATGTATCTCTTTAATATAAGGCTGAATCACAGACAGGAGTAAAGGGGAAACAGGAGCCTGGGATGTGTTGGAATGCAGATCTGCTTCCTATAAATGTCTCAACATGTTCTTTTTCAAAGACATTTCTAGAAAGAGGGTATATGTAGGGCTTGTCACAATTCTATTTATGTACTTAATGGGGGTATTTATCTTTTATTTCACAAATAGCCTAGATAGCTTCTACTGTTTGGCAGTACAGAAATGCAAATAAGGAAGTAAATTGAAAACATTAAATACTGTGGCTGTATTTAATGTTGTCAGAGCATTCTGTTGTAAGAAGGAGGGGAAAATGGCCCCACTTCTGAGCTTTCCAATTTCATCAGTCATGGTGACCAGACCTGTGATCCTATTTTGTACTTTTTTTCAACTACTGCTCACTTTCCTTAGACACTGAAGAAGCAGAAGGGTGGCCACTTGCCCCTCCAGAAGGAAACTAATCCATTCTTATTAGTAGTTGAAAGGTAGGTCATGATTTGGGCTTGCAAACCATCTATTTTTGCAGGATTGCAAGGTAGCTAATATGCAACCATAGTGGCTCACCACCCTGGCTGTGCCAAGTATGTGCTGAGAGTATTTGTATAATTGCTCTCAGCTATGTAGCTTCTGGTGCTGGGTGAACCCACCCAGGATGACAAGACCCAAGAACCATACAACAGCCCATGGGCCACTTCAGTGGGACTGACCAAATTAAATTGGCCCAGATTGAATCTGAGTCCTCAAAATGAACTCTGGATGAATCACTCTGAATATTTGTTTGTAAATCTTAGTTTAAAGGATCAACTTCTGGAAATTCATTAGGCTTGCTGCCAACCAAAAAATACTTGTCAGTTTATTCACTGGCTGTGCTCAGGTCTGGAACTTATTCTTCAGTAATGTTTCTGTGGAAACTGCAGGAAAAAGGAGAGGGATCTACATGGCTTTTGTAGAAACAACAGACTTTTACATCTCTCCTTCTCATCTCTTGCCTCCAGTTGTCTGACTTCTTGTTAATTCTAAAGCTGCTCCATGGTTTCATTGCCCATTTTGGATATTATAGGAATACATAAAGGAGCAGGTTTGCGCATGCCTGACTTTCATGCAATCATCTGGAAACTTAACATGTGTGGGTGTCTCTCCATCTGCCCTGGGAGCTTTGAAAAACCAGGGAGACTGCTTGCATAGTGAAGTATCTATGGCTCTGAGTTTAAAATTTCTTAAAAAAGCCTATATGTTAAACCAGTTCTGGACGAAGGTAAATCAATTATTTGATTCACCAGCTCAGTTTTCAAATTTCATTATTTCGTTGCAGCAAACTGAGCAATGACATAGATTTGGACTGCCTTTTCAGAATATTCCTTGGCAAGAGAGGAAAGGAAGATTCATTTGAGATACCAAATCCTGTGTCAGTAAAAATGGGACGGAGTTGTGTTCATATTTGGCCAACTGCCCCAGAGCTGGTAAAAAGCAGAAGAGCTGGCATAGATCCAGTTGAATAACTGACTGACCTTTTTTGGTTTAGTGGTGCTTGTTTAACTGTTTGAAATCCAAGATGCAACCTGCTTAACTTTCCTTTTTTCTTTTCTTGAATGAGAAAATCCAGGAAACAGAAAATATTTGTGTGTGTGTGTGTTTATAAAGGTTTGGGGTACGGGGAGACATACAGTAAAATCCATTAGCAGCTGGTATAGTGTAGTAGCTAAGAGTTGGAGCTATGAATCGGGAAGTTCCTGGTTCAAATCTCAACATAAAGTCATTAGGTTGCCTTAGGCATGTCCCTCTTTCTCAACCTTCGCCCCACCCATTTTAATATGGAAGAAGATAATCCTGGCTTACTGTACAGGTTTCTGTGTTTATTTATTATATTTCTAATCTAAGTCAGCTTACATTATCCTCTTTCTCTCCCTCTCTATTTTATTCTCACAACAACCCTGTGCAGTAGGTTAGATTGATAGCGACTGGTCCAGAGTCATCAAGTGAGCTTCCTGGCCCTGAGTGGGAACTAGAATTCAGACTTCTTAAGCTGCAGTTCAACATTTTCTAGCTCTTTCACATGAGCTGTAAGTGTTGTAGTGCACATAAAGTACTTTGAACTCTTGAAAGTGTTTTACACATGTTAAGTCACCTTATTATTTTGCATCATGCTTTAGCAGTGTTGGATTGGGAGGAGAATGGTAACCCCTGTGCAGGGCTATATTGTTAGGCTTCTTGTTGCTTTGACCCATAGGTTACTCTTCCTCTTTGGCTTGTTAACCTGTAAGCACCCCTGGACCATAATTAAAGGCAGTTCCTTCTTTCTTTGTCCTGTTTATATTGATATATGTAGGTAGGTAGGTAGGTTCAGGAGGCCTTTGTCCCCAAATCTTAATAGAATAGTGACTTTTATTACAGCCTTATCATAACTTCTAGATAGAGTGTGGTTTATTAAGAAAGCCAAGCCAGGACTATCAGCATGTGATAGACAACCGGGCCCAGAAGGGATAGAAATTAGGTGGGTTCTGAAACTCACATATGCCACACTATTGACTACAGTTGTCTGTCTTGTTGCTTTTGTTCCCCATGCTGCCCTGGTACTTTACATGTGGTTACAGTTGGGCCATTGTGCATCATAGCATAACGGAAAAGCTGTGAATAAATGCTCTGGAGACATTCCCTGCTCTAGCGTGGTTGAAGTGAAGCAAGTGGAAGAGCCCTGTGTAAACATATTGAAATTTTCCCAAAGAAGAATGGAATTTATTGATGGTGTTTTATATTTGTGTTTAAGAGAGAGAGATATATATCCTTTTTCATTAGATGTCCTTCCAGTTCCAAAGCAAGTTTTAATTATTTACATCTCACTGAAACCACAAACCTCTTAAATGCTTCAGTGTAACAAACCTGGCTAACATCTCTTCTTTGGGATTGAGATGTACTCTTCTGTATTTACAGCTTCTTATGGTTATGTAATAGCTTATTTTTCATATGCTAGGATCTTTGCCAGTCTTGCCAGCATGAGAGATAAGTTATCCTTAAATCTGGCATTGGTGCTACTACTGTGGTCTGTGAAATAAAGTCCCCTGTAAGCTTCAACTGCCTCTGTCTTGGCCCTTTTGCTCCCATGACCTCTTTGTGATTTATTATTCCCTCTAGGCCTGCACTTCATAGCAACCCTTCTCTTTAGAAGTTATTTCATTTCCGTTAAGGAACGGC